ATAAAGAGCTTTCTGTCTGCATTCAGCAGAACGGAGCGTGCTTTTTGTGAACTGTTAAAAGGGTCTCCTTGCAAACAAAAATGAATTTACAGGTCATTTTTCATTCTCTTCAGTTAACAATTTCTGTTTTCTCCTCTTAAGGTCATTGAAACTAGAAGTGTGGAAGCTCCGTTCTTTTTGCCAGAAATCATATTCCAAGATAAGTGCAGGTAAAAGGACAGGGCATTTTTCTGATAAATGGAAACTAAAACACTTCAGCTCAGTCAGCGTGGGGTTTAATACCCAGCCCAGGGATTAAGCCTTGCGCTGTTCAGTTATGGTTCGAGCTGCTTCCCTTCCTTCCCTCTTGCTCTCTCTTCTTCTGTCACCTTCCAAGGCAGAACCCCCTTCAAGGAGAAGGGCTGCCTCTTGAACGAGCCCTCGGGAAGCCGGCCGTGCGGACGAGGGTCAGGGGAAGAGCGCCTTGGCAGCGCACCGGCCGCTGGCGTTTGAGCAAGGCCATCAGCGCCATAGGGATGCTGTTGCTGAGAGCAGGCGAGGAGGAAGGTGCAGCCAAGAGCCACCCTGCCCTAGAGCTGCCCAGGAACCCTTTCCGTGGGATAAAGCTTTTGCAGGTGGCACCCCATGGAAAGAAATTAAAAAAACAAAAAGAAAAAGAAAACACTGTCCATCTGGAGTGGAATTTGGTTTTTGGGCTGCCAGAAGGGCCTGTTCCCCGATGTCGATGGTAGACGCTTGCAGCCTAGGCCCTAATATCGTCATCTCGTACTGGAGGGGGTGATTTGTACATCATCTCTGCACGCAAGAGTGTGGGGTCTCGGCATCCTTTGGGGGGGGAAGTGTGTGTGTGTCTGGGGGTGGGGTGTAGATAAGAATGAATTAAGGGGCAAACCCCGCCAAGGGGGGATTGGCTGGAAGGTTTGGGATGGGCGCTTGCTGGGGAAGGGGAGGCCTGGCTAGCTATAACCGGGACATGCAGCCCCCTTTGGCTACAGGTCCTGCTTGCAGGCTTTCGGTTTCTGACATCCTTTCTGCCGGGACAATGTTCGACAGTCTTCCCAAGACCTTGGACAAGGACGACAAGCACCTGTTTTTCCTGACCCATAAGATTGCTGAATCCTTGGGTGGAAGCGGATACAGTGCGGAGAGGCTGTCGGTGCCTTACGTTCCCCAGGTGACAGGTGAGCCCTGTCAGGTAATCCCTCCTGATGTCTGCCCTTTTGCCAATGGAGATTCGGGCCCTTGGCCTGCTGCCCTGAGCATCAGAGATGGCTGGCAGCGATCTGCCGGTCTTTGGAGGAACAGAATGGTTCTGTTCCTAGAGGTCTTTCTCCCCAGCCCCAGCCCCTGCCCACCTGATGGGCCAGTTTCTCTTACAACCTGATGGCAACTCAGTCAAATGTTCTGCAAGGCGACCACAGAGGGTCTCCTGTACCTGGTGGGCCCAGAGCGTGGGGGGCGAGGTGCAGGTAACTAGTTCCTTGTAAGCAATTCCTTTTCCAAATAGCGGATGTATAGATTGCCTCCTTTACACAGTGACTTCAGAAGGGAAAACTCTGACGTGAACCATAACTTCCCAGTGACTTCTCTACTTCTGGGGTGGGTGTTGAGCTGAATGATGAGGGAGACAGAGGGTGAGAGTAGGGGTATGTAGGTAGGTAGCCCCGTTTTCTGTGTTGTTTTTTTTATAAAATGTCAACAAGTAACTAAAAATGGACATTCCTTCCCCTTCCCTTGGAAAAAAACCTCATCCTTTGATGACGTGTGCCTCTTGTGTGTCTGCAGATGAAGACAGGCTGTCCCGAAGGAAGAGCGTTGTGGATACGATCTCCATTCAGGTGGACCTCCTTCCGGGCAACGGCGCAGAAGATAAGGTAGGTGTCGTGAGAGAAATCTGCTCCCCGCCTTGTCCCAGACAGAGCTGGCCTGGGTGCTCTCGAGCGGCGGAAGGGATTTTGCATTGTGGCTCTGCACCTGGAGCAGAAAAGGGCCTTTTCCGACTTCAGATCCACTAGGAATTATCCCAAGCTTTAGCCTGTGCTGAGCATGCAAATACGTTGTCTGCCCTTCGGTCTCTTTTAAGCACACAGCCCTTTGGCCGAGGCAGGGTGTCAACATGTCTGACCTTCCACAAATCCAAAAAACCCCCCACAAAACCCCAGACAAACCACCCAGCTTATTCTCCTTTCGAAGAGATCCTTTGCCGAAGTCCAGATTTTGACATGGCTGGTTCCTTTATCCGCTGCTGTTTGTAAGTGAATCTACCTAATGGTCTTGTCTGTGTCGTTCCCCCTTCTGACACACCCACACACCCGCATCGCCTCTGCAGCCTTCCCACTTCCAAGTAAATGGTTCTTTTCCAAATGTATCATTTCACAGCAGCATCAGAGAAACATACAAACATATGATCAAGCCACACTCCCTATTTTGACATATGGCCCGCTCCTTACTCTTCAGTCCCCATGGTCTCGCCCAGAGTTTCTGGTGCCCAAAGACCTTTCTCTCGTGTGCCTGTCAGCAGAGGTGTCTCCTGCTGCATGTCAGCTGCGGGACTTCGCACACAACGGTAAATACCTGCAAAATAAAATTCTTCCAGCAATTCTCGACTGAAAATTGATGCCAGTGGAGTTCAGCTGGCATAAATCTTTTGCTGTATCCCAGCCTTTGGAAATCTTTTCCAAATGTTGTATCATTTCACAGCAGCATCAGAGAAACATACATACGATCAAGACACACTCCCTATTTTGACATAGGGCCCGCTCCTGACTCTTCGGTTCCCATGGTCTCGCCCAGAGTTTCTGGTGCCCAAAGACCTTTCTCTCGTGTGCCTGTCAGCAGAGGTGTCTCCTGCTGCATGTCAGCTGCGGGACTTCGCACACAACGGTAAATACCTGCAAAATAAAATTCTTCCAGCAATTCTCGACTGAAAATTGATGCCAGTGGAGTTCAGCTGGCATAAATCTTTTGCTGTATCCCAGCCTTTGGAATGGAAACGTTCAACCTTCTGAACTGAAGTCTTGCTTTACGTAATGAACCCTGAGATTTTTGCCATTGAATTCCGCTACCCCTGGGAAGTTCACATAGTTGGTTCTGAGAGCGCTCAACTTTATGTTGATCTCACACTTAACTCAGAGAGCTCCTTTTGAGCCTAGGATTGTTCACTCCTTTCCTTTTAGAAGAGGCTTTATATTTCTGGGGTGGAAATATAAAACTCTATTAACTTTGAAGGGGATTGGTGCTCCCTTTCTCCCCATAGTGGCTCACGACGACTAAAACAATCCCGTTTTAACGACACTAAAAATTCTTCATTAAACCGCCCTTCATTGTTGTGGGTACTGAGATAGTTCACAGTAACTATACAAGTTGTCATATAAAGGCAGAGTTCCTTCTGTTAGATCTTTTCTTTTTGTTTTGATTTGTGTAATCAGAAGATGCCTCGTTTGTTATGCTCCATGTAAGAGTGGAATCCATCTTTAATTTGCTGTTCTTTAATTTCCTCTTTAACATTCCTAATGCACTCCGTGTGGAGGATTCCTTTACTAATTGGCTGCTATTAGCAGTCCTTATCAGCTGATTTTGTAATATCCTGTCTGGTGCCATTACTCAACCAGCACCTTTGCCTGCCAGTAAAGTGTGTGTCGGGCGGGTGGGAGGAATAGATTAAGAAGCACCTCCTGAATTGAAAGTCCTTGTTCTACCTTTGGGGAGACTGGCACTTCCCAGGTGTGTGCTCTGCTCTGAGCTACCTTTTCTCCTCTCACCTGCACTTATTCCTCAGTATTCTTCTGCGCTTCTCTTCCTCCTCTGGCTTTCTCAAACATGCTCCATAGGGGTAGTGCTGGAAAAAAAAACCCCACAATATAGGATTGTGATTTCTCTCTTTTTTTCAATAGCTCTGTCACTCTTGCACTTTAAATTAATTAAAGGTTTGATCTTTCTTTCAGGTCAACAACACAGAGGAAATTACCTTTGAAGCTCTGAAGAAAGCAATTGGTAAATTCACATCCTGTTCGTTCTTTGAAATTGATTTTTCTGTGACGTTCTGTTCCCAACAGACGTTGGTTCTTGTCAGTTGCAAGAGCCACCTGCCATCATGACTTGAGCGTTTTCCGTGTTCCCCCGGTTAGGCCGGGTTGCCTTCAGCGTAGAGGGTCATGTGCTTGCAAGCACGGAGGGCCCTTTGCCCTGGTGTCTCTGGCTTGTTCTGGGGTCGCCCCAATCTATTCAAAGGCATTGGGAAGGAAAGCCGTGATGGCAACTATCCTATCCCCTCGCCTGTCAGAACGAGGGGTTCCCTATGAAGTCCCTCTATGGAAAAACGTCAAGGGCCGGTGCTTGGTTCTAACACCCTTCTATGGGATGGCATTGCCTGAGTGTCATCATCCCCCCCCCAATGGGATCAAAGCAACACCAGCATCTTGGTGGCTTTTGCTGACCTTGCTCTGGAGGAGGCCATCGGAGCCCCGCGTGGCCCACAGCCGACCAGGGATGGTGTCCATCCGGGGGCTTCACCTCCACCCTCTTGTTGCGGTGGAGGCAAGCAGAGCTTATGGGGCCTCTTAGGGGGCAGCCTTCAGTTGGATCGGGGCATCTGTTGTTGGAAGTCCGGTTGGCTTTGTGTATGAAGTCACACTGAAGTAGACCCAGTGAATGAGGGGAGAGGTGGCAAGTCCACTCCTCCACAAGCTCCATTGAGTCAATGGGCTTACTCTAGTTGCCACCTAGTAAGAAGCAACTTGAGTAGGCCCACTCAATCAGTTGAGCTTACACAGGGGTTGCCTCATCAAAGCCCCTCTGAAAGCAACAGGCTTTCAGCCATTTCTCTTTTAAGTTTCTGGCCAAGGCTTGATTCCTCTTCCTCCCTCTTCCCCCCAATTTGCCAAAGACAACACCGGCCTGGAAGAGCAGGAGAAGGAGAAGAGACGGCTTGTCATCGAGAAGTTCCAGAAGGCTCCCTTTGAAGAGATCGCAGCCCAGTGCGAAAGCAAGGTGAGGGAGGGAGAGCGTTTGCGGGCAGGCAGGGCGCTCTCAGTGTCCTCCTGCCCCGTGGGCATGAGAGAGAGGAAGAAGACGGTCAGAGGGATCATCCCGAAATGCAGCACAGGGGGAGGGAGGGTTAGGGTTTTGAAGCCCTGGGATGGGATTCTGCCCCCCCCCCAGAGTCCCCTCCAGAGGCAGGTGGGAGTTTTCCTTACCTACGCGATGTGCGGGGGGCGGGCGGGCATGTGGGGCAAGAATTGGGCTGCTGACAGGCACTTGCTGCCTTCCTCCGCACAGGGACAGCCCCTGACTTTGGGGTTCAGTCGGTTGGGAGCGCGTCTCCAGGTGGGGGGTAGGGACAGAACAACCCTAAGGACGGGGGGGGAGCCAAAGCGCCAGAGGGCCCCCCCCCGCTTGTGCATCAGCCCGTCTTGCTTGCTTTCCCCTGGGTTCAGGAGGCAAGAACGCCCGAGGGGCTGCCTCGCTCCTCTGCCCCCTTGGCCCGGCCTGGGACGAGGTGCCTGTCAGCCTGGCTCTTGGCTGGTTGAGCGGTCTCTGGGGTGGTGGGATCATATAGGGCCGGCTGGAGGCGGAGGGTCCGGCCTCGGTGGGGGGCTTAGTCCAGATGTCCTCTTCCCCTCTAGGCCAACCTCCTTCATGACCGGCTCACTCAGATACTGGACCTGACCATTCGGTAAGGTGCCTTTTTGGGAGAAGGGGAGAAGGGGGGTGTTGGGGCAGGATCTTAGAACTCCGGGGGGGGGTCCCCCTGGAAGCGAGAGGTGGGTGGGTCCTGTAGGGCAGCCCAACAGCTCAGAGCTAGAGGGTGTGTGTGTGTGTGTTTGAAATACAGAACTGGCCACGAACGGGGACTGCTGTGAAGCAGCGCCAGCTTGGCTGCCCGTGGGCCACTTGCCCTGATGGACACCGGACATGGCTTCGGGGGCATCCGTGTGCATGCGTGTGTGCCTTGCAGGGAGCCCCCTTAGGCCTGGCCCTGTTAGGAGAGCCACACACCCAGAGTGGTCCAGAGGAACGAGGAAAAGGCAGCCTCTGTCCTTAAACCGAGAGGGATCGTGGCGGCTGGTAACGTGCATGTCCTGTGAGATCCTAACGCAGGCTAATGTCTCTCTTGCAGCCCCCCTCCCAGCCCCTCGGGGACCCTGACGATCACAGCTGGACATCCCCACTACCAGTCCGTTCCGGTTTATGAGATGAAGTTTCCAGATCTGTGTGTGTATTAAGAGCCTTTCTGGCCTCTGCTAGGCCTGACGTTAAGCCTTGGCGCACTGGGTGTAAAGCAAGCCTCCGAGGCATGTTCTGTGCAGCAGCCTCCACACTTCCCCTTGCCACGTGGTCAACAGAGCTCTCAAGACACCACTGATGCTGCCTTGCCCCCCCCCCCCCGCAACAGAGCTCTCAAGACACCACTGACGCCGCCTTGCCCCCCCCCCAGCCCAGCCCAGCTGGGGATGGTCCTTGTTCTGTTCCTTCTCTTCTTGGTGGTGTGGACACATTATTGTGCTTTCTCATTTTTCTCCCTCCTGTGCAAGAGGATAATCACAGGTGTAATAACAACCTATTTTGCCAAATATTACAGAGGATAGAGAATTTTTAGACTAGAGGCGGAGGCTTCTGTGCTCACTGGCAGATTTTTTAGATGTCCTCTTTCCCTTTTCTGTGCCACATGAGCCTCAAACGCCTTAAACTGTGCTGGTTGGTGTGCAGACTCCAGCAGTTGTCCAAGCATCCATCATCCTAACGATGCCACACGCAAGGAGCCTCTTCTTCTCTGATGGCAATAAAACCGAATGTAGCAGGCGTCCTGGAAATTCTGTATACATGCCGTTTATCCCCACCCCATGCTCCACTTCGGCCAAGGAAAGACTGCTTTTGGAGAAAAACGAACAGAAAACACCACCCTGCAGTACATTTGAGGTCTTAAAATACTTAGTTCATGCTGTGCTTTCAAGAAAAACAATGTATTTTTGCTGTGCCACTTTTAGAATACCTGAAATATATCTATATAATATATATTTAGTGTAGCACAAGGGACCAAGTGTATTTTCAAAAGACAGGGTTTTTTTTTACTAGTTCTGTGTAAAATGATAAAAGAAAAGCTGGTTATTCCATGAAATATTTGTCTCCATATTATAGTGGTGTAGAATTTTAGTCCTATTTTGTCAGCTGAAAGATACTAGATGGAGCTGAATTGGGTGGTTAATTTTTTTTAATAGGATAGGAGTTCTTTTCCCCACCTTTTCATCATCACAAGAGTTGCAATTTAACTTGAATGTCTTTTCATTTCTTTGTCCTCTCTGGGGATAAAATGTGGGCTGGCTCAGCTCTCTCCCTCTCTGTATTGGTGTGCAAAGAGAGGGGGCTTTGTGGGCAATCTTGTGTTTATACCCATCATCCAAAAATGAAAGGACAAACGAAGGTTTTTATGTGTCTGTCCCACAATTACAGTTTTGCTGTTAAAGATGAAGCCTCTGGAGCAGCCGGGCCAGCTTTAAGTAGGGCCAGCAGAGTCTTCGTGGAGTTGTCTGAAAACCTGACCCTCCTCGCTTGATGCCTGCCTGTCTTTCTGAAAGTATTTTTTTCACTGTTTTATCTGCAACCGAGTTTCCTTGTAAAATGAGCTGCAATCAGAGGTGGTGCGCGCATGTGGGGGGGGGGTTGGCTTGACAGTCTACAAAACCCCTAAGTGTCTGGGCTTTTATTTTTTTTTTTTAAGGAAGAGGGCAGGAGAGAAAGGCCTGTTCTTTTTCCCTGCCAGCTTTTGGTTTCCCGAACCAAGGAAGCCAAGAACTCGCCTGCCCGGGAGCGGCGGCTGCCTTCTTCCAACCAAGGCTGCCTTTCCAGCTTGACCGTGCAACACGCAGCTCTTAAGCGGGAGACGAGACACTGCCTCTTCGGCACGCAACCTTCCCCTTGCGAGGACAACCTCTCCACGCGGCTCAGAGCAAGAGGGCAGGGGGCCCTCGCACCCCACATTGGGTTTCCACATCTGGGGGTGGGAAAGGTAAGGGACCCTGGTGTCTTCCGCCCAGATGGTGTCGCATTTAAAGGCAGAAGGTCATCTGAGGTCGCTGCACGGGGAAAGGTCCTCCGTGCGGCTTTTTCTGAAATGTCCCAGCCAGGAGGGACGCTCTCGGATTGACGGTTTTCCCTGCGGTCCGCGGGATGATGCTGGGATGCAGGCCACGGCAGTTCTTCCCTCTCAGCTCTGCCTGCGACCTTGGTGGCCTTCCCTGCCCTCTTTGCTTTGGAGCCCTGAGCTGCCTCCTGGTCCTGTTTTCAAGCTGTCGCCCTGCAGGGCGGATCGGGGCCTTTCCTTTCCGGGCTTGATGCCGCTCAGCCTTTTAAGGATGGGGGTGAAGAGGAAAGGGCGGGCGAGCGAAAGAAGCAGGCCCATGGCCACAGAGAGACGGCAGAAGAGGGAGAAAGGCAGGCCCCGAAACCCGCAGGCTCCCTTGGTGGATCCCTCGGGCCAGGGAGCTGCTGGCCGGGAGCTTTCTCCGCCCTTGGGCCGCCGCCGCCGCCTCTCCTCCTTGTCCCTTTAAACCAAGCGCCCCCCCCCAAAAAAAACCCCGGGAAAGTCCGCCCTGCCTGCGAGAAGTCGGGCCCGGTGGTTGCAGCCCCGGGGGGAGACGGCGGCGGCGCCCTCCTCCTCCTTTTGGCCATTTCAGTCGGGATGGGGGGGAGAGACCCCCCCC